CAATTATATCAAATATGTCCGGTATATCAAATATATCAAATATGTCTGACATTTAGATCTGCAATATGCTGCGCCACATTCGTCAATCCAATCCTGTTACAGTATGATAAAACTATTGTACTTAAGGAATGATAAATGCATCATTCCTTAAATATGAAAAAACAATTGTTCTTTAAGAACGATAAATGCATCATATTTTAAGAATGATAAAATCATCATATCTAAGGAACAATAATATCATCATACTTTAAGAACAATAAAATTGTCATACCTAAGGTACGTAAATGCATTGTTTCTTAGAAATAACAAAATCATCATATCTTAAATATAATAATATCATCATTCCTAAGGAACGATAATACTTATTATACCTAAAGAATAATACAATCATTTTAATCAGATATCGATCAATTATAAATAAGATAGATCAAATTTTGATATATGCCAATCAGCTATAAATAAGATAGGTTAAATTTTGGCTGATTCTTAGCCGATTTCTGATGTATACTAATTGGCTAGGCTAATTTTTGATAATTTGCAAATTTAGACTAAATTTAAACTGATTTTAGGCTGATTTTCACATGTTTGATTTTTTTATTTTGACCAGTATTTATCTGTTCAAGAAAATTAACAGAAATTAATTTTACTTATTATAATAACAAAAATATATTGATAACATTTTACATATAATAATCAATAGTTTTATCTATAATTATAACCACTAGTTTTAAATCAAAAAAATAGCTTAAGTGATTAATAATACTTTTCAAAAATACTAGGTAAATAAATTTGCCTAAGAGTAGAAACTTGAAAAATAGAACCTCTATTTTAATATATTTTTTTAAAATTAAAAGTAAGAAATTACCTTTTTTTAAGAGAAATTTCTGCTATTACAAATGCTTTTATAAGATCTTCAATAAATTATTTTTTGGAATTAACATTTATTTAAGTAGAGAAAAGGATAAACTATTATGTATTATTTAAGTTTCTTGTTTTTTTTTACATTTGATATATATTATAATATTTATTTATAACAGATCTATATTTTTATTTTATAGAAATATTGCAATAATTATAATAAAAAATATTATTATAAATGTAAAAAATATCTTTATATTCTTTATACCTAATATAAATTGATATCTTTTTTTCTTTAACATTATTAAAAAAAAAATTATTATAGGAATTTAATAATAATTTATTGAAATTAAATATATTTACTACAAATTATATATTCTAATATAGAAAGATCTAAATTATATAATTTTATAATGTGATAAATCTGAAATATGTGTATCAAATAAATTATGTGATTTATATTAAATTTATGTAATCATATCAAATTATCATTTTTGATTTGTGCTTAATTTTATATACAATTTTATGAATTGGTATTTAATATGATTTATAATATAATATAAATGATAATAAGACTCATCTAAAATACTTTTAACTTAGTTAGAACTTTATTTCTATCTTGTAAATTTCTAAACTGATATTTTAAATAAATATTAAAAAAGATCATATTTTTTGATGATTTATGTAATATATTTTGACATTTACTATGATCATAATAAATACTCTAATATATGAAATAAACAAAGGAGTTGCTATTTTGAAATTATATAACTATTTTCTTTAAGTCTCTTTCATAAAATAAGCATTGAAAATGATACATCAAAAATATTTAAGGATATGATAATACTCTAAATAATTTCAACTAAATTAAGATTAAGTATTTTTTTAGTTAATCAATTTTTAATAAGGATTCTCTGATTTTATTTTGATTATATTCAGTAATTACTAATGTAATTGTTGTTACTTCAATGTTAAGAACTGTAGCAACTTCCTTATGTAATTATAAATCATAAAATTTTTTAGTATTATCAGATACCCAAAAAATATTGATAAATATAAATCACCATTTTTTTTATTGCTAATTAAAAAACATTTTGATCTTATTTCAAGTTTTTTATGAAAAAGAAAATAATAAAAAACTGATTATATCTTTGAAATTAAAAACTATCCTAATCTTATATATAATTTTTTCACATGCTGGATTTGATTATCAAATCTTGTATCATAAGAGAATTTTTGTGATGATTTTAGTGTATCAACTTTTTTGCATTAGACTATAAGTATAAATTTCTTGCAATAAGAATGTAACTGTTTTAAAATTTTAACTTTTATAGAATTATTAAGATATAATTTAAAAATTTTAAACTATGTATTTAAATAGGCAACTGGAAGGATTTAAAATTAAACCTTAAGATAAAGTAATATAATATAATGTAAGAACATTTCAATAATCTAGGTCTTTTAATATTATTTTTAAAGTATTTTGAACTTAAATCTTACCATTCCTTCTTTTTGTCAACTCCTCTTTTTCTTTTTTCAAATCTTTTCCTGTAAGTCTTTCCTCCCCTCCTTTTCACAAATCTTCCAGCCTCTTTCCATTTTCGCTTTCTCAAACGCCTTCAACTTCTCCTTTGCCTCTTCATACACTTTTTTTGTCTTTTTCTAATTTCTTCGATAATAACTATTTTAAAATTAAAGATTAATCAAAAAGATTAATAGACAAGAAAAGGTCTATACCAAATTTATCAAAAATAGCATTGATTTATATTTGGTTACCAGCCCAGTAGCTGATGCGCAGTTTTTCTGAAAAATCAATAATCCTTCGTCTCTTGATAGATATTTTTGTGAAACCTAAATCGATATATTTCTTATATTTCTTATTTTCGCTCGATAAAAAAATTTTTCCCTACATTTTTTTGATTCTCAAGATGTGTTCAATTTTATTTAAATCAACACGAAATTTTTTTATAAATTCAACAAAATATAATTCATTTTACAACCATCGATCATTTACAACAGAAACTATCAATCAAAATCTTATAGAAAAAATTGTACAAAAATATGCGTTAAACTTATCACCAGGTTATAAAGTTAAAAGTGGTGATTTTGTAACTATTCAACCAGAACATGTAATGACTCATGATAATACTGCTGCTGTAATTACAAAGTAGGTATATCTTTTTACCATATTTAGAATAGACCGCAATGTGAAAATTTTATTTTAATTTATTTTTTATTTTTTTTAATAAAGGTATTTTCAATTTATTTATTTAGGTTCAAAAGTATAGGTGTATCAAAATTTAAAAATCCTAGACAAGCAGTATTTACTTTAGATCATGATGTACAAAATAAATCCGAGAAGGTAAGAATATAAAACACGTCATTAATTTAATTTTTCATTCCAAAATTTTAAACGATTATTTTAGAATTTAGCAAAATACAGATCGATCGAAAATTTTGCAAATCTTCATAACGTAGATTTTTATCCTGCAGGAAGGGGAATTGGACATCAAATACTTATTGAAGAAGGTTATGCCTTCCCAAATACTTTAACAGTAGCATCCGATTCACATTCTAATATGTACGGTGGAATTGGATGTTTGGGAACACCAATAGTTCGAACAGATGCTGCAGCATTATGGGCAACTGGGAGAACTTGGTGGCAAATTCCTCCTGTAGTAAAAGTAGAACTCAAAGGAGATTTGCCTGATGAGGTGACGGGCAAAGATATTATAATTACTTTATGTGGAATGTTTAACAATGATGAAGTTTTAAATTGTGCAATAGAATTTACAGGTGAAGGAATCCGTGGACTTTGTTTATCGGAACGACTAGCTATTGCTAATATGACAACTGAATGGGGTGCATTAGCTGGAGTTTTTCCAGTTGATGAAATTACTATTCAATGGCTTCGTAATAGAGTCGAAAGGTTGGAAATTACGAGATTTGAAAATAAAAATTTAGTACCTACACCTCCCGGGCAACCATTCAAAAATCCTAGAATAAATCATGAAAGAATTGATGAAATTGAAAATAATCCTTTACATGCTTCACCTGGAGCTTATTATTCTAAATATCTATCATTAGATCTTTCAACACTTTCTCCTCATATTTCTGGTCCTAATTCTGTTAAAGTTTCAACACCTCTTGTTGAACTTGAGAAACAAGATATTGAAATTCAAAAAGCATACCTTGTTTCATGTGTCAATTCGCGTGTTGAAGATTTACGTGCTGCAGCACGAGTAATTAAGGGTAAAAAAATAGCAGATGGGGTTGAATTTTATGTAGCGGCCGCAAGTAGTGAAGTACAAAAAGATGCAGAAACAAATGGTGATTGGCAAGCATTAATTGATGCAGGGGCAAAAATATTACCTGCTGGTTGCGGACCATGTATTGGTAAGTATGTATGGAAATGATTTTTTTATATTTATGTGAAATAAACAATTCTTTGTGAATAGGTCTTGGTGTAGGTCTTTTGAAAGATGGCGAAGTTGGAATTTCTGCAACTAACCGAAATTTTAAGGGTCGAATGGGCTCACCGAATGCGTTAGCCTATCTTGCATCTCCAGGTAGTTTTTTGTCAATTCATCTTTACCTTTATAATATTTTTTTTTCTCTTATTAACAAAATCCGCTTTTTTTTTTTTTTTTTTAAAAAAAAAAAAAGCTATTGTTGCTGCTTCTGCAGTAGCTGGTAAAATCGCAAGTCCAGCCTTCCTATCCACATCGTTTTCGTCTCGTCAAAAACAACAAATTCCAATTATAACTTATGAAGTTGATCAGTCTAAACAAAGTTCTGTAGCATCATCATTTATAACATCTACAATTCCTGGATTTCCAGAGACATTTAAAGGAGAATTGATATTTTGTCATGCGGATAATTTAAATACTGATGGAATTTACCCTGGAAAATATACTTATGTTGATGATCTCACACCAGAACAAATGGCTAAAGTAGTTATGGAAAATTATGATCCTAAATTTGCAAATTTGGTTTCCAAGGTAATACTTTATTTAATTAAATTTCTGATTATCAAACATTATTATTATTGGTTAATTCCATGATATTTATTTGTAGGGAGATATTTTAGTTTGTGGATTTAATTTTGGTACTGGATCATCGAGAGAACAAGCCGCCACTGCAATCAAAGCAAGTGGTGTTACTATTGTCATTGCTGGATCGTTTTCTGAAACATTCAAAAGAAATTCCATTAATAATGCTTTACTTTGTCTTGAAGCACCTGATCTTGTGCGTTTATTAAAAGAAAAATATAATTCAAAAGAATTAACAACACGTACAAAATTGGATGCCGAAATTAAAGTAGCAGAAGGTATTATGATAATTAAAGGGTTAAATGAATCACAAACTGTATTTAATGTTGGTGTTTTAGGGAAAAGTGTACAAGAATTATGGGTAGCTAATGGATTAGAAAATTGGGTAAGACAGAGCGTATAAAAGGAAATTTAGGAAAATAAAATATTCAATTATAGTGTTAAAAAAAAAATTTTTTTTCTATAAATATTCAATGAGCAGGACCAGATACTCCTCTATTAAATGAATTGGTTGTTGGATTTGTTGTAGTAGTTTGTGTTTGTTGTTTGTGCTGCTGGTTTCCACTTCATTAATATCTACAGGATAAATTTAATTCTCACCTTCTGTAATCTCTAATGTTTCTGCTGCAGCATTATTATAAATCGTATTTGAAGACATGCCACAAAAACCTCTACGATCTCTACGTCTCATAAATAATTTCCGATTATTCTTTAATTTACATAATATTCGATCCATATATTTTTGTTTATCATCGTCAGAAAGAACAGAAGATAAAACACAAGACATTTACAAACCGGAATTCCCGAATCAAAATCATGGAATAATTTATTAAATGTGTCTAGAAAAGGTTATGATAAAACCATTAGTTATAAAATATAAGGATCCTATTATTTAATTTGATATTAAAAAAAATACCTTCAACTCGATTGCTCATTGGTAAAATTACATTATCTCTAAAAATCATCAGTACTAAACGTCTAATATTTATATTTTCTGCTTGAAGAGCGTATAGGGTAAACCCCCTTTAAAGCAAGGTATCACAGTACCGAAAAAAAATTGACCAAAATTCAACTAATCGAAATACAAGTTTTTTCATACATAATTCCCATTAAGTGTAAACATTTCATATTCCAAAAGTTCATTTATATCTTCATAAAGTGAATGTAATTGTCGATCGTTCACGTAACGTCTGTTTAAATTATCCGCAAATATATATCGATATGGGACCTTTGCAATAGAAAGGGGAAACAGCCGGAAAAAATCAAAATTTACTTTTATATGCCAAATATGATTTTTAAGTCAAAATATGTTCAGATTTAGCATTAACTCAATTTTTAATTTTTCCAGCCGTTTCCCCTTTTTCTATTGCAAAGGTCCCATATATAAGGAATGTTTGATATACAGTCAACCCTCTCTAAATGCACCCCCTCGGGACCATAGTGAAAATTTTAAAAAATGTCCATTTAAAGAGGGTGTGCATTTAAAGAGAAATTTCTATATGAATTCTATATGCTTGGGACTGAACGAGAGCGTGCATTTAGAGAGAAAATATATAGTGTGTGCATTTAGAGAGGGCTGACTGTATTTATATTTATATATATTGAATAAATATGTTTTTTTTTATGATTTTATAATTACCTTATCAGACAATCCTTCGCCATTGAATAATGGCAAAACCTTAACGACCAGAGAATTCAAAGTATCATGTTGACAACCTTGTTCCATTCTTTCAAAATCCTTAGTATTTACAGAATCGTACACGTAATCATGCAGTAGCGGAATTGGATCGTGAATCAATGATGGTTGATGAAGTAAATGAATTTTTAAACATCAACATCTTTAGATTTAGGGTTAGGTCAGGGTTTAAGGATTATGCATAATGCGGGCCAAATGTCACGTGATCGATGAATTTCTGGGTAGTTTATAATTTACCATATCTCACGTGATTAACTCCGCTTTAGACATCCCCAAATAGGAAGTCAAAAAATAAGTCTACAATTATGATAAATTCCCTACTTGCAATACTACTTGTTATCAACACCAGTCGAGGACACCAATTCGTTTTTAATTATCCCAAGGTTCCTCAAAGGCGCGATGAAATTGACCAAGTTAGAAAAGAAAATGAAGTTGGAAACGATTTACTTGAAAACGATGTAATAACGTGGCCCTATGGTGCAACTGAGGACGTTGACAAATGGTCTCTTCGTTCACGAATTGAAGAAGAGGAGGAGTATAATATTAATTCAAACAAACAGGTTAATAATAGTACCGGAAACGATGACATTGAACGCAATGAAATATTTAATAAATTATTTGGATTTGAAACTTGGTTATTGGCAAATATTCTCTGTCCTAAAAATAATGGGTTGACAAAATTCCAACTTTCAATTGATGATCTGACTTTTGTTGGGCAACCAGTTTTTCTTAAAACGGAAGTTGATACCAAAGAGAGAGAAACTTATTGTAGAGAAAGAAAAAAGAATGATGATTTTGATAACGGTAATGGTATAGATTTAAATGAAGAAGGATTGCAAGAACAGTTATCTAGACTTGGTTGTTCTGATGCGTCAAATGAAGAAATGCCTACTCAAATATCTTCTAATGTTGCATCCGATAATAGCAACTCTTCTTCGAATCATTCTATTCAACGACATCTACACTTTTTCTTTCATCTTGTGTTTGTTCTTGAACCACCTGAATTGGATTTATGTAGACAAGTAGATGATATTTACAAAAATGTTATTACAAAATTAACTGAAGCACTTCGATATGAACAATTACGATGTGACTTTGTCAGGAAAGAAGCTGAATTAATAATATCTTTAAGAGAAAATCCTGGTATGTATATAAATGTTTTTTGACTATATTCGTTGACATAATAAATGATATTTCAAAATAATAGGTGTATCTACCCCGGAAAAATTAATGGAAATTATATTGGAAAAAAGTTCGTTAGCACGATCTATTTGCAAAGTGTATGATGCAATTTCAACTGACAATATTGCACATATACTTATAAATGACTACATTGATTTATCCTTACAAATTCCTCCACTTTCTCCGACCATTAATCCTTCTGATAATACTGATAATGACATGATTAGATATGAGTATGCTCATTATCCCGTTATTGCTCCATATCATACTCTGCTGCTTCTGGAAGATCCAGAAGAAATTCTTAAAAATATGCCATTAGATGCTAATCCAACATTGGTTCAGTTGGTACAGATTTTGACCCCTACACAACGGTATGAAATAATGTCAAATTGAATTTTTTTTTTTTAAAAAAAAAAAAAAAGCGAATCCCTGATATTTTATTGTAGATTGGCCGACTTATGTACTGTGTTAGATTGTTCTTTGGCACAGATATTTCGAATTGCGGCACATTTGATATATTGGCAAAAAGCGAAGATAATCGATGTTATTAGTGTTCGAAATGTCTATGTTGTTTCTCCTACCGCGGATATGAACTCGTAAGAATATTTGTATTTATATAATTATAATTTACTTTTCAATGTTATTTAAACTTATATATCTTTCTTAATCCTTGAGGTTACCAATTTATATTGAATATTTCAAACAACACTTTCCTGCTCTGGACCTTGTGACAATTCTTGCATCACTCTCCACTCCTAAGCCATACTTTATAAATGCTATCACGTCCAAAGAGAATCGCACCATGTATCTCGAGGCTATAACTTACTTGTTGAGAAAAGACCTTGTTGTACAATTACACGCATATATTTTAATCATGATACCACAATATATAAAGAATGGATTTACTCGGGCAGAGTATGAGGAAAAATTGAGAAATTCCGGAAACAGCGAAGGTTATGATCATACAGCTGTTGATATATCTGTTCCCTCCTCTTCGGCAGACGGAAGAGGAATTTGTAATTCGGCAAGCTCAATGGATGCTACCGCTTTAATTTCCCCTTTTGAAAAGGCATCAGACAGTGAAAGGGAATGGTTATATAACTTCGTAACAAATCATCCTAAAGAAACCGTTACACTTTTCGAGAGGTTTGTAAAAAGTCAACGTAGTTATAATCGCTTATAATTGTTTTAGTTTATTTATCAATTCCGTATGCTTCCTCATTAAAGATTAATCAAATATTTCAATGGAAAACATCATGTTGAAGAAATTCTCTTTCGTGAAACTATAAAACCGAGAGATTTAGGTAAAGTATTAGGTCTGTTTAGCAAAGACGAATTGATTACAGTTTGGTGTTAAAGGATTAGACTCTTTTTTTTACTTTGTATTTGATCTTGGAATTTTAAAAGATATTTATATAAATATAAATAATAATAAAAAGAATAAATACGAATAAAAAAAAAAAAATGCTGCGTAAAGTCACGAGATTATAAGAAAAAAAAATTAAAATAAACTTCCGCATCGGGGAATCGAACCCCGGCCTTCCCGGTGAGAGCGGGAGATCCTAACCACTAGACTAATGCGGATGATTGTTTATAAAAATGTTAAAAATTTTTATTTGTAGAATTTCACGATCGCAATATAGGAAATAATTTTTGTTAATCATATCTTCAATTGTTAAAATTTTGCCATATCCTATTTTGGTATGGCTTTATTTTGGAACTTTTTTTTTGAGAATATATGACTCCTCTCTTTCCGTATCGAGAATGTATGGAAATTAATTAAATATTAATTGATTGTCGTTAGCGCATATAACAATAAAAACCACCGTTCAAGTAAATTCCAAATTTTGAATTACCATATAAGGAATTCGGTAAGTGTATTTTTTTGACTCATTGTGTAACTTGGTACAACGCGCAATGTTTATTTTCATAGTTGGGGGGTTTTTTTTCAAAAAAAAAAAATTTACTTACAGGTTAATACTTTCTCAATCACAAATAAATCAAATAAATCAAATAAATCTCCTTTCCTACTCTTTATTAGAGGGTATTTAAATAATTTTATGGTACTTTTCAATGATTTCGTTTAATTTTATAAAGAAAATTCTTTGAAAGTTTTTAGATGGTTTAATCTATTTTATTGCGTAAAATTTTTTGAAAACAAAGAAAAAAAAAATACCAAAAAGGTATATTATTATGATGTCAGATACAGCGTCCTCACCCTTAGATACGTCTTCTCCTTCTTCATCGTCGTCTACCCTAGCCACGACTCCTAATTTTTTACATGCAGATCTAAGACGTTCGTCATATTTCTCAACGGCATGTAATAACCCATATCCTACCAAAGCTACAGGGGTTTCGCTTAGTTGTTTAGTAAATGCATCAGTGACTGTTGTTCCTAATAATAATGATAATAAACCACCAAATTATGTTTACGTATTTGGTGGATTTAATTTATACACTGATGAAGTTTATAATGATTTATATAGGTTAAATGTTTCTGAAATGAAGTGGGAGGATGTAATTTATTTAAAGGGCGTACGTCCTTCAAAGCGAACTAATCATTCTGCTTCTTTATGGAATCAAGATAAGATAATAATTTTTGGTGGGACTGATGAACAAGATCAAAATTGTAACGATATAGTTATTTTGGACTTAAAAACTATGACTTGGGAACGTCCTGAAGTGAATGGATATATTCCGTTAGGACGTGCAAAGCATTCAGCTAATATACACAATGATAAACTTTATATAGTTGGAGGTTATTATATAAGTGAAGAAGAGGAGAATTCGGTATCATCCGATGTTAACTGTTTAAATTTACAAACGTGGACATGGGAAGATCCGATTACATTGATTCCAAGACATTCGCATGTTTCATTCATTTATCAGAATCGTCTTCATGTATATGGAGGTTATAATGAGGAAATGGATAGAGAGAAGTCGCTTGTTATTTTAGATCTTCAAACTCAACAAGTTTCAAAGATAGAAATTACGAGTGATTCAGGACCTGAAATGAATGGACAACATTTCGCTCAATTGTATTGGAATCGATTAGTTGTAGTGGTAACACAGAGTTTGAAAGTTGAAGCGCAGGAAGGTTCAATCGGAGTTTGGGCTTTAGATTTGAATTCTTTTCAATGGCATCAATTTGAGGATGGTGATCGTTTTGTACAAGGAAATTGGCATTATTTTGCTATGGCAGAAAATTGTCCAAGGTTTTTCTTATTTGGAATAGATGAAAAGGAGTCCGATGAGTATTTTTCAAATGTTCTTTCGGTTGACCTTCAAGAATATGGTATTTCGAGAATTCCACCTCCAACCATTGGGTGGGATTTTGCACAATTATTAAATGACGTAAACACTTCAGATTTTACCATTAAATCAAATGAAGAAGATAGTCCTGTCATTCATGTTCATCGAATTATTCTTCTTGCCAGATGGCCTCACTTTGGTAATATGATTAATTCAGGAATGACGGAATCATTTAATTCAACTTTAACAATTCCTGAACCTTATGATATAGTTCAGGCTTTTATTTCTTACCTTTACACTGACATCATTGAAGGACAACTATTAATTGATACAGTTGCAGACCTTATGGTGTTGGGTAATATGTATCTTATTCCACGTTTGACATCACTTTGTTGTGCTCGTCTACAAGAGAACATTAGTATAGAGAATGTTGCTAAAATTTATCAATCTGCTTCAGTCGCTGGAGCTCATCCTTTAAAGAAAAGGTCAATGAGATTTATCAACACTAATTTCGGTCCGGTTTCTAAAACACAAGGTTTCAGGACTTTACCGAAAGAGATCTTGTTTGATTTCTTGGATAGTTTGCCGGAAAAGGCGAAAATTAGCGTCGAATGACATGAATGACACCTTTTTGGTAAGTTTATAAATTTTTACTAAAATCAAAAATTTTTCATACAATTTTTAATATTAATTTCCACAGCTTTTAACAAGCCAAAGAGATGACGATTTATTATAAAAATGAATACGAATTTAAAGATTCTGTAATGTCCTGCAAATTTTTTTTTTCTTGAACTTATAGGGATATAATAGAACATTTGATTTATATATAGAATTTTAATATACTGATTGGTATGTTGGTATATAGATATGTATTTCAATTAAGTATGTTCATTACGTTAATCGTTGATGAATAATTGTAAATTTTTTTCGTTTTTACATTTAATGAGTGGGCATCTAGAATTCTTGTACGGATAATAAAGTTTTCATAGATTAAAATCATAGCCAAAAAAAAAAAACAAAAAAATTAAATAAATAAATAAAAGTTTTGGATTCTTTAAAAATTTTATTACTGCGTTTACTAAATATTTTACTATAATCACGTGTCCGAGGGATATCAGAGCGAAATTTTCACGTGATATTAAATAAATTAAATTTATCAAAAGAGTAGTATTTGATTTATATGGTATGGTATGTTAAAAGAACTTTATATTAAAAACACACAATACTGTATTAGACGAAAATTCTGTTAATAGCTTATCTTCTTACCATTATTTGTTTTAATTTTATTATTATATAAAATAAAAATTTTGAATTCAATTCATTTCTATTCTTTTTTAATTAAATGTTTATAATAATATTTTTTTTAATTACTAATTAGTTTCCTTTTTTTTTTATAATTGCTTATATATTTGAGATTTTAATAGTTTAATAGCCAACTCAATATCTTAGTTACTATTAAAAATAAAATCTTTTGGTTTTTTTTACTATTTTAAACATTATAATAGAAGAAAAAAAAAGCTATAAAAAAATAAATTTAATTTTTTATGCTAAATATAATATTTTTATACCTTTTTACAATAAAGCATTTATATGCTTAGAATTATTATTTTATTAAAAAATCTAATACTTTTTATTTTATAATTAATATTTAAATTCAAAATTTCTTAATAAAAATACTTTTAACTATAATTTTAATAAAAAAGAAGAAATTTAACTTAATATTTAATTAAAAAGCATTTTACATAATTTTATATATATTTAACCATAAATTTTATAAAGGTTATATACCAATTTTATAAAATACTTTTTGAAAATATTTAAAATATAATTTCATTTTTAATATCTTATTACAAATTCTATTTAGCATTATTAAAAAGAATAAAATTACTATTATTATAAAGTTTTTTAAGTATTATTCTTTTATTTATATTAATATTAGTATAACTTTTATTTAAAATATATGCAAATTCAATATATATAAAAATTTATCATTTAAAATAAGTTTTTTAAAATAAAAAAAATATATTAATTAAAAAAATGCTATTTTTAATATAATTATAAATAATAAGAATTTTTATTACAAATTATTTTATTTGTTTTAAAATTTTAACTTATTTTTAAATTATTTATTTTATAATATAATATTTTTTGTGATTCTAAAGGAATCACACTAATCACCTCCCATACAAGAAAAATAATTGACTTCATTTTATAGGTTACTTAGTACTCTAAATGTTTTTTATTTGCAATACATTAAGCCTGATCTTAGCCAAAGACGCTAAAGTAAAGAGATCACTAAAAATAAATTATATAATGCAGAACTTGATCTATGATACATCATGATTTTTTCTATGCCTCAGTCTTAGCCAAAAGCATTAAAGCAAAGAGGTCTGCTTCATCATGATAATCTATCCTATTCACTATATTTATTCTATTCATCACTCAATAGCCTACTATATTTATTATTTTCATTCTAATCTCTGTTTCATCAGTCGTGATGCTAATAATAATCTTGAAAGGGAAACTATGTGTTAGTTACAAACCTGAAGACGTTATCTTGCAAATGCTTAGCCTAAACTGAAAGTAAATACTTACTCTTAATTTTCTAATATCTTATCCAGTATTTCTCTAAGTAACTTTATTTCACTGGTACTTTTTTTATATAGAGATACACAATGATTATGCCCATTATACAGTATTTGCTTATTTATATAGTTATAATATTCGTATTTACAAATTGTAAAATTTTGAGAAAAGAATTTAGCAAATATATATACGATTCACACATTACATAGCCTCTATTCTTTAGCAAGAATTTCTCTAATATTATATTGATATTTCAGGTAATCAATCTCACATAATTGTCTGACTATCATTTGTAAATTTTTTTAGTTATAAAAGTACTTTTTTTTTTACTTGTTTATCTGTTTTCCATTTGCCCTTTAAAATTTGAATCTAACTAAATGAGTGTCACAATAGAAGGATCAGAAGAAATATCAATTTAAGTGACCTAAAAAATCAGACAAGCCTTTAAAATTAAGCAGGTATTTAAGTAATGTCTAAAACTATTTAAGAACAATAGCAATAAGTATGACTAACAACTACGTGATAATAGATCTTTATAAATTTTAATAAATTATTAACGTGAAAGTGAGATCAAAATATTGTCAAGATTCATATTCTCAGACTAGATAAAGTTGATAAATATGTATGTGAAGTTATACACAATAAATACAACGCTCAAATAATTGATAACGATATATTTATTAGAATAAGTACTATTCTGAGTTACATTTACATTTATTAAATCTGACCAATTTTATATTTAGTATAATGGGAGAAATAAAGAAAATATCTATTATGAACTTAGAAATTCAACTAGGATATATAATCCAATTTGGTATATGATATCTAATATGATATGCGTAGCTGAAGATAATGATTATTAACTTAATATTAGCGTATAGTTTCAAAGACTAACATTTCTTCAAAGGCAAAATCCAATTGTATATCAATGTTCTCCACCAAACGTTTGAATAGAAGTAAACTAAATTCTTACAGGGAAAAATTGTAAATCACTTTGCTTATCAGGTTTAAATCCTTGCAAGTATTTTTAACAAAGATTCAGATTGTTAAAATGCGTTAGATAGAATTGCTCAAGTTCAGCAAACTCATATTATTGAATTTATCAGAATCACTTTTCCTCAATTGTTTGATCCTTACTGTCAGAATCCTTTTTCTACAAGAGTCTTTACTCATGTAATTCCAGAAAATGATCAAAATGCTAAACCTAGTTGAGCTCTGTACCTTATACATTAGGATGTTAATGACACTCCAGTTTACTATAGAATAAACTGAAACAAAAATTTGACTCTTAGGTGTGGATGGATTCTTTAATTGAACCTTGTGCTTAATGAACTTACTTAATAGTTAGATGAAGTTGGCTATTATACCGATATGAATTAAATGATTTAATGCTTTCCTTACTAATATTGTAAAAATTTTATTTGCATAGATGATAAAAAAATAGTAGATTATACATTTGCAAAAATAAAATTCAAATATTTTGCTGAAATTTCAAATCTTTCGAGTCCTTTCTACTTTTATCTTAATTGCATTTTTTTAGTTTGTCAGAAAGAATTTTGCAAATTCATAGTTTAATTTTCTCTAAGTCCCATGCTTTATATATAAATTTTTATAGATGTCAACCCTATCCTCTGAACGAATAATATTTATAAGGATTTCTTGGTTCTTACTTCTGATTTGTTAATAATTGCATTATATGAATTAATAATATTGCTAATTCTTTAAATAAGCTTTTTTAGCATAAATAATTATTCACCTTATGGAATTCAAAAATATCTCTAATTTTTATTCTTTAGATAAAATTAATTATTTTAAATTTTATCTCAATGAATCACAATCTAATAATTTCTTAGGGTAAATGATCCAGATCCAGGAAATCTTTCTAATCTTAGAAGCAAACGATCCTGAGATCAACATTTTATTATACACTTTTTTTTCATTATTAATCCCTTGCAAATCATGACGATTAGCATACACATTTCCAAATCCCTGCTTTTTTATTCAAAAAAAAAAAGATAAGCAATTATAATCTGTAGTTTTGTTCCTCCTTTGGTAACAAAAACGCAGTAAGTAAACAGGATAAAATATTGATTACTGAAAAGAAATCCCTATATTGTTTTAATAATAGCATGATCAGAGATATCATACACAAAAAATACTCTATCAGCAAGAGTTTTCCTGATATCTTTCTGCATATTTCAGGTAATCAGTCTTATATAATGAAATTCTCTATACTACAATTGCGAACTTGAATTTATTGCTTGAACTATTGTAAGTAAGATAATATTCTATTTCATTTCTATACCATTCACTATGTAATCCATAATTCCCATATTTTTTATCACAAATAGGATATAATGAGCTCCATGGCTGAAGTGATGTAAAATTATAATTATTAATTTCCCTAAAACTATTTTGAAATTTTAAGTATGTGAAATGCTTTAACATAGATTTGATAATTAACTCTGGATTAGATCTGGCTTCGAAAGTGATGGACTTGAAATCAGAGGCCTAAGACTTTGCTGACGTATTTATTAGCTTCTAATAATTACCATGGCTCATTTCCAGTTTCTTTTTTATATTTTTTATATAAATTAAAACGAATATTATCTGTCAAAATACTTAGTAATCAAGTTAATTTGATATGCCAATCCAGATATTCAGAGGTTAATATTTTATCAGACTCAGTCATTTTCTTTTTATACAAGTACAAATAATTTAAATCCTTTTTTTCTCATCAATTCAAAAAAAAATTTAAAATTTTCAGATAGTAAGTTGTCTAATATTTCTTATCATATTTTCAAAAAAATAGTTAGATTATCTTCTGTACTCATAGAGTAGGAAAGATTATGCAGTTATCTCAATTTCATGTTATTCATATTTAATAAAGTAAAATCTAACTTTATACCTACCTTCTATTTCTTCATCATCATGACTTAATTTGCATAATAGGCAGATGGTCTCTTAAGATCTCATATGATGTCTCATCAGTAATCCCATAATAATCAAAATTTTTACTACTATATTCT